AACTATTTATTACTATTAGGTATTATTGTATTTTTTTTTTTTTTTTTTTTCTTTTTTTTTTTTAAGTAAAGATAGAGAGGTGCCTCATTCTATATTTGATGAGTTTTCTAGAGCTTAGATGGTGGTAGTAATACTTATTTGATATAAAGCTAACGAATAGAGAAATATGTAATTAGAAATTTCATAGTGTACAGAAGGTTTTTGAGAATATGTATTTTTATACGTTAAAACTCAATATAAACGCAGAGAAAGTGCCATTCCGTTCGTTTCGAACCAAAATTTTTCTGCTTACTTTATTCTCTCCTTGCTAATTGTGATATTAGGTTATATGACACTTTGTCGTCATGTATGAATGAAACATATTTCAAATGGATCAATATATACATACATATATAATATATGTATCTATATATTGCTCTTAATTATATATGTCGAATATAATATTTTAACCCACAGACCATTTTGTGATTATTTTTTTGTTAAAAATATTAAATTAGGATCATATTAGCTGTTAGTGTAAATAGATAAATACATTTTAGAGTGAAAGTTTTTGTTATCACTATAGATATTTCAAATTTTTTGCTTGCATATCACCTCTTAACAGGTTGACGTTATATAAAATAAAATATGAGACGAATATAGTTTGAATATGATTTGCAGGTAACGATCCACAGAGTTTTGAATCTATGACGTGAAATCTATCGTGATGTAGAGAAATTTTTGTCATGTGCACCGGTACACGCTGATCTCCATTTCATTTTTAAATATCTTTTCGCGTTAGTAGCATGTTTTTGAAATTAAAGCGCTGACTGTGTCATTCCAGTCCAGTTTTTGGGCCAGTTCATAAAACAAGCACTTTTTATTATGAAAAAAGAAAAAAAAAAAAAACGAGATTGCGTTTTATCATCGTTGTTTTCGCTGATAAAAGAAATTTCGAAAACGAAATATCGAAATTGTGAGAAACGCGTTTATGCATCGATGACAAGAAATGATGGACAAAAAAATAACAAATGTATTAACGAATATCGTGAAATTTGTAACAAGAAAATCACGAAATCCATTTCTAGAACTTTTATGATGTAAACTGTAATTTTTATTTTTTCTGTTCATTTGTCAAAGAAAAGATAATGACTAAAAAAAAAAAAGAAAACATGAAACAAGTAAAGAAAATCGCTCAACATGTAGATGATGGAACTAATTTAATCGTCGTTGAGTCACTGTTGTCAATCAAACTTTATTAATAAAAAAAAAACAAACAAAAAAAAACAAAAAAAAGACAAAAAAAAAAACAAGAACTGGCAGGATGAACTAGCGCAGGCGAGATTAGATATTTAAGAAAAAAGAAAGAAACGCGTTGAATCTGTTGCACAATCGTAATAAGCGAGACGATTTTTTCGGCCAATTTGAAGACATGTTTCAAGCCGAACGATTTCCATCCGCTCGATCAAAAAGTACAGATGCCATCATGTGTAGTCACAGCAACGCGTGTGACAAGTACAATCTGACAGTGAGAATATTTTTTTATCGTCACCATAGATTAAACGAGAAAGAAATATATTATTTTACTGTTCTATTTCTACTTCGACGGGAAAAACGAGAAAAAAAGTATCACGTGATCACGAGAAATGAAACACATACAGTCTGTTTTCGTCGTTCTGAATGGAAAAGCATAAAAGTAGGGGAAAAAAAAAAAAAAAAAAAAATAAGGAGAAAGGAAAAAAGAACCGTGTTTTGCGTAGAGAACAGAAAAATTTAACATATATATACATATATATATATATTCGTGGCCGCTCCTTTGACTCGATCCATGTTTGTCAATTGGCAATTTTCATATTGCCATTACTCTTTATCCCAGTTTTGGTCCTTTCCTTGCTCTGCCTGCGCCATTTTTGTGATATTACTATTTTTTATAATTACTTAAGGGCTTGGAAGTAAACAAAAGAATAAAGAAAAAAAAAAAAAAATTGAGCCACGTGCAATTTCTCGACTCGAGTCTACAAATTTTCTCTATCTAGATTTCACATCTAGAAATATTTGAAAAAAGTATATATTCATTATCATTATTATTCTTATTATTAATAATTATAATTATTATTATTAGCAGTCTTATTACTATTACCTGTTTTTATTATATTCAACATTGTATTGTAAATAATACATAACGAAACAAACATCATTGCTAAGATCATTTTTTCACTTTGTCACTTATCTCTGTCGCTGAATTGACTAGTGTTTAAATAATAATATTCGATTTGATGCAAACATACACACAAAAGCACGAGATATATATTTATATATACATATATATTTTTTAAATAGTTCCTAAGCTAGAGAATGTTTTTCAGTGATACACAAAAAACAAACACACATTTAAATGGACATTTACATGAAATATATTTATAATAGATCTCTCTCAGGTTTCCCTATTCAATTTTATACTTACAATTAAATGGAATTTTTCGATAAAAGAATATTTGATACATATTGTCGTAGCATCCTGTGTATCATTGTAAATATATGGTACTATATATAATTTGTCGAGTAAAGGAAATATTTTGTGAACGACTTCCGTCGAGATTTCACGTGGCTCGCAAATTATTTATTATTATTGCTCGGAACTTTCACTCGATGTAAAGACACGGAGTAAATTTATAATGAAGTACGACAATGAATGGAAAATAAGTAGTGTCATGAGCAAGAAAAAAAAAAAAAGAATAGAATCGTCTATTTATACATAATATTATATTAAAGTAAATTAATTAATAAAAAAAGAGGAGAGAGAGAGAGTGAGAGAGAGAGAGAGAGAGAGAAGAGAGAG